CATTGTGAAACTAATTAGATTTATCTATGATATGAATTTTATTTTGGGTATTCATGAACCATTACTTGAATGATTCGTTTTTGTTTCCTAGTGAAGAAAATGTGTATCCATGTTATTATCTACTTTAGATATTGGTTCAAGATGAGAATGACAACTATCCTATCTTTAGCAACCGATCTTTGACGATCTATGTACCAGAAACACACTTGGTCGGAAAGCGGCTAATTCAGCTGGTTGCTCATGATCCCGATGAAGGTATTAATGGGCAGGTCATCTATAGCCTGGTTCCAGATGCCCAATCGCCCAGCGAAAATCCGGAAAAAAGAGGATTTGAGGATGCTCTTACACGCCAGCCCTTCCAGCAAGGTCATTCTGTGGGACATATTCGAATGACCGCTCAAAATTTAGAACGAAGAACTCAGATGTCCAGCTCTTCCATCCCTTCTTTAGCTGCAGCCTCTATCCCTTCGACTTCCTCCCTTCACTCTTCAGCACTTTACTCTGCTTCTTCTTCTTCAGCCTCTTCTTTGTCATTGGCTTCGTATGTGTTTAGTCTTGACTCACGCACTGGCTGGCTGACACTACAGCGTCATCTTGATTACGAGCACACCAAGCGATATACTGTTCAAGTGCTAGCCAAAGATGCTGGAGGGCATCCTAGCTTTGATGAGGCAACGGTGCATGTAATCGTTACCGATAAAAATGACGTTGCCCCGAGGATTGTTGTCGACATTTTAGCCGAATCCTTTCTGGATTCGAGCTCATCCCCTTCCTCCACTTCTGACTCTTATTCAGTGCCAGTTGCATCACAAACAGTTCAAGGACTTCATTCATCAGTGCTCACTCCCTCTGCATCGGCGACGTCTTCAACTTCTTCCACTTTATCTGCAGTTGTGATTGCTGCTCCATCAGGGCACAGCGTTTCGGCTCGTCTACAGGTTCAGATTACTGAGACTCCAGACGTTGACGGACGTAACACTGTTTCTGCCCTAATGGCAGGTCTGGGGCGTCAGCAGCTAGCCTTCGTTGTGGTTAGCGACCCGGATACAGGACGCGGAGGTCAGGTTACATGCCATCTTCTACAACTCTTGCCTCACCTACCTCCAACATCTTTATCTGTACCATCAGGCATATCGGTTTCGTCAGATGCCATGGCCTCTGGAGCACTGGCTTTATCGGAACTGTCGGGAAATCATAACTATTTTCGCAGTCTGTCAAATCTACCACAAGACTCATTGGTCCTGGGAACTGGTACTGAACATTTTCACGGCTTGGCGAGTGCTGGGAAATTCCGTATGCGATCAATTGCGTCCGGCCAGTTTGAGCTGTCTACCGCCTATGGTTTCGACTACGAAACAGCCAGGATCGAGAGAATTCAAGTAATATTTTTAACTTAACCATCTAATCATAAGAGGAAATAAAAGCTAACATATCCCAATAGGAGATGCATTTATCTCTTAGTTGTGCTCGGCTTCTTCCTCCTATCTGGCCTCATAAGTACCTAATTGATATTTTACGTATTCCCTTACTTTGAATCCTCTGTTGCCTTAAGACTTAGCCAAAAGATTGGAGTCATATATTTCTAACTCTTAATAATCTCCTATGGAATATGATGAATAGCACAGGTGTCAGAAATTTTCATACTATATTAAAAGTTGTTGTGTTTGTTGATAAAGTCTGTCTATAGTGGAGGCAAAATTGTTGATGGAGCTTGGCTAGAAGAGTGACAATCTAGGCTTGTGCTAAGAATATTTGATAGATTTACTTTAAAAATTTCATACTTGCGAGGCTCTCTTTAGGAATTTATTAAAAGGAAAATAATCTGAGGTCCCTCCTACATAAAAATGGGCATACTGCCTAATGGATAAGGTTGCACTCTGATATCAGCTTTGTCCCTTCTTAGACCACATTTAGCGGTATGAATATCTGAAACTTGCCTATACCTAAATTTTACCGTTTGAAAAAGCATATTTTGAAACCTATTCAGCTAATGGGATACGTCAGAATTTATCATTTATGCTAACATGCCTTTCCTAATATTTTTTTCCTAAATAGCGATTATATTTCTGCACTCTAAGTTGCAACAGCTTCAACAAGTAGAATAAGTTTATCTAGCTTATTAGAAACATTTAACTGCTTCAGGCATCGTTTCGTATTCGTTTTACGATTTGCAATCATTTGTAATTGCTCGAAAAATCTGCATTTTTATCAAAAACATTATACTAACCGTAAATCGTAATTTTCTGAAACATCGCTTTAGACATAGTTATAAAGACGAAGATCTTGTGGCCTATATTTTGGTCGCAGTATAATTTCGATGAATAGATGTGATCTGACATCGTTTTCGCAACTTGGTCGTGCTACTAGTGCGATTGTCAAAAGTACTCTGCTATATTAGTTATCATATTTAGTTAAGATAAGAATCGGATCTACGGACCAATGAGGCAGATCCGGATAGGAAGTCCGAGTAGGATCAGTCACTAGAAAGAGAGGGGCAAGGCAGACAGCAGGTGTGATGACACCAAAGTAAAAACGCCAAAACAGGGCACAACTATTGAGGAGTGAAATACAAACATGTAAGAAGTTATGCTAGGATGAGAGTGAGACAAAAGGGTATGGAGTAGATTGAGGGGCCAGGACAGAAAGACGAGTGATAGCACAGAGGTTTCAGAAGAAAGTTCTTCAGTGGATTCACTTCACTTGTCTCTTTCACGAGTTGTAGCTTGATGCTGATAATTACAAGACTCAATGAGTATGTTGACTATGATGCCGGCGAAACTTCTGGGAAGGTACCAAGTCCATGGTCAAATGCTGGGAATTAAGACAACTACTATAGCAGAGGACGTTGGACATGGTGCGTCCAACTAAGTCGCCTTGGAAACATGAACAATTTGC